GATGAGAGTCTGGGTTGAGTCTCTGAGATGGGGGTCCGGGTAAAGTCCTGAACACAATGAATGTGCTGTATAAATGAAAGAGGAAAACCATATTGTTATAGCACAGATGCTAGATCGCTAGCGTAATCGCTAATCCAGCTAAGGAACACTTGCTGTTCAAACTACATGCTAACCACTGTTTCACTTTCTCTCCTGAAGTTCAGACGTTACCTCTCAGCCATTTTGTGGGTCTGTGTGTGGAGTGCTGGTGTGTTTGTGTGAATTATGCATTAAGCTCTGATGGAACAGAGATAGCTGATGTCAAATAAAGTAGTGTGTTTATAATTTCTCAGCACAGCGTTTTTGTCTGTAACATACATTTATTCAGCTCGGCCACATCACTCACCATCACACAGCAGCGCAGCACATCTGCTGCCATGGAGGGGCCTGTGTCTGTGCAGGATGGAGCAGGAGCTCTTTCAGCTCATGAATTAAACATGCTGGGATAGAAAAATTCCTCTCTGGAAAAGAGGAGGAGGAAAAAACGCCCTTAAATCTGGACAGTAGATCATGAGCACAGCAGGAGCTGTGGAAGGAGGCACAGTGTAGGGCTTTAAAAACGGAGGACGCTTTAAAAGCATAAAAGCCTTAAAACTGCACACAGAGACATCAGCAGACCTTCTAAAGCATCTTCTTCACCAAAGAACAGCGAAATGTGTTACATTTAGCCTTTAGGTTTATATTTAAAGGCCCAAATCAATAAAAATGGCAGTTTTCCTCACTACACTTTGATGTAGTATGTAAACACAGTAAACACTCTCCAGTTACACTGGAGTTTATATATGGTGCCAGTTTTGAATTCACTGTTTTTGTGATGTCATGAATAACAGCATATTAGCATATGCGCCTATTCATCCTACAGCAGTTTAGCCCCACCCATTCAGCCTACAGCAGTTTAGCCCCACCCATTCAGCTACAGCAGTTTAGCCCCACCCATTCAGCCTACAGCAGTTTAGCTCCACCCATTCAGCTACAGCAGTTTAGCTCCACCATCCAGCTACGCCAGTTTAGCTCCACCATTCATCCTAGAGCAGTTTCGCCCCTCCCATTCAGCTAAAGCAGTTTCGCCCCTCCCATTCAGCTAAAGCAGTTTAGCTCCACCCATTCAGCTACAGCTGTTTAGCTCCACCCATTCAGCTACAGCAGTTTAGCCCCACCCATTCATCCTACAGCAGTTTCGCCCCCCCATTCAGCTAAAGCAGTTTAGCTCCACCCATTCAGCTACAGCAGTTTAGCTCCACCATTCAGCCTACAGCAGTTTAGCCCCACCCATTCAGCCTACAGAAGTTTAGCCCCACCCATTCAGCCTACAGCAGTTTAGCCCCACCCATTCAGCCTACAGCTGTTTAGCTCCACCCATTCATCCTACAGCAGTTTCGCCCCCCATTCAGCTACAGCAGTTTAGCTCCACCATTCAGCTACAGCAGTTTAGCCCCACCATTCAGCTACAGCAGTTTAGCTCCACCCATTCAGCTTATATCAGTGTAGCCCCGCCCATTCAGCCTACAGCAGTTTAGCTCCACCCATTCACACTGAAGTTATGAGGACTGCTTTTTAAATACGGCACAGGGCAGCCAATCAGAACAGAGCTCATTTAACTTATAGTCGCACAGTAACATAAACAGCCTTTTTAATTCTTAGATAATTTGGGAAATGGTCATTTAAAAAAGAATTATGGCAGCTTTTGGTATATAAAATCTCACACTAATGTTACAAATACAGCTCAGGAAGGAAATTAAAATCCAAGGAAAATGTAGGATTTGGGCGCTTTATGGGGGAACGCTATACATAAATGGACAGCTTTTGCTACAGATGCTTACAGAAGATATATATAAGCTTTGCTCTTCACCGCTTTCTCAGCATACTAATGCTTTACCTTGTAATGTTAACGAGGTCTTTTCGAGAGAATGTGTAGCGCATTGTTGAATACTGAGATATTAATGTGTAGAGATTAGTACGTTGTGTGTCTGTGCAGCGTTAACTCAGTGAGGATGCTAAAGGCCTCTCAGTGTAGCCTCACTGCTGACTCCACTCCCCGTCTGCTCCATGTAATGAATGTTTTAGGGCAGAACTGCCTCCACTCCAACAGTTTAGCTGGCAAGGAGGTGTTTCAGGGTTAAACCGAGGCGAGATCGAGCGGCTGAGGAGCGAACCGAGGAGCGAACCGAGGTGACTGCTGCGCCGCTGTCAGAGCCACATGGTCTCTGAGCTAATCTAGCGTAGCCTAGCAGCTCTCCCCTACCCCCACCGTCCATATGCGAGTGAACGCACGCACACAAAAAAGCTATTTTTATCGCGTTCACGCAGCCTCCCTCGTCTCCCTACATGTGATCTGTATCAGTGTATTAGAGTGCCCCATTTTCTGGCCAACATGCGAAAAGCACCAGCGAAGAGATGTCCTCGATGCGGCTGCCATTTTGTAGGCCATCTCGGAGAATGTTTATCGACTGCTCACTCCGCTGCCTCTCTGCGGCTGAATTAAACACCGTCATCGCTGCATTATACGCTGATCGATGGCACGAGGAGGCCCAATCGTATGCAGTGGATGGGATGTTTCAGTGCTGATATTCTCACAGCAGCACTGAAACATCCCCTGAGTGTGTTCTCAGCAAAGAAATGAATAGCACAGCGACTTAGGGTAATGTTTATGAGCTGTCAGACATTCTGTACATTAAAATGAGATTTATTTTGCATAAAAAAGTCTCATAGACTCTAATAATTATTGTGTTTTGGCTTAAAAGTCAGTAGACAGGTTGCATTAAAGGGCCTATATCATAGAAAAAAATAATTTTTTTGTTTTTATGCATTATGTAAACATTCATATCATTCATACATTCAAATATTTGAACACCCCTGGTGAAAAGGGCTGACATAACCACTACAGGTAACTCAAACATGGTAGTTTTATGCAAATGAATTTTACATATTGGAAAAAAACAGACATAGAATGTGCCATAATATTTGCACAGGCCACATTTCATATGTTATTTTTTCCTCAAATATGCTAAATTCCGCAAATAAACAATAACTGTGTATTAAAATGAATGTGCAGAAGTGTGTTCTCTCTAGAGGATGTGTTAACTTTCTAATGTTCGCTTTCATTTAAAATAATTTTAAATCATTTTAAAATCAGCAAAAAAAACAAATATAGAATCTGGCCTGTGCAAAAGTCATGGCACATTTTATATTGCATTATTTTTGTGTTTTTTGTTAAAAAGATCTGCCTTTGCAGCCTACAGCAGTTTAACCCCACACACTCACACCGAAGTTAAAAGGAGTGTTTCAGCCAGGACTGTTTTTTGAATGAGGTCAGCCAATCAGTAGTCAGCTCATTTACATATATCAGTCTTAAAGGCAAATTAACAATAATAACCTGTTTAATTCTAAGGGGTAAAGAGAGGTTGGAGAAACAAATGACTTCACTTTTGGTAGATAAAATCACACAAACATTACAAGTGGACTTTGAGGATGGGGTGTAAAACTGGACAAATAAAAGGCTGAAATAAAAGGTTCAGATTCAGGTCACTAGCTGTGCCGTTTTTCTCCGATTTTAACACAGTTTCACTTTTTTTTGAACAAACATCTTCATAAAACAAACGACCCAAAACAAATTGGTTTATATTTCTCCTCCACAGTGTTTCTTAGTTTCATATTTATGGAGAGGACATTACAGAGGAGCCCATATATCAGCACTATCAGTGCGCGCAGTGGTGCATTGCTTATGCCGACAGCGCTCTTGTCTAATTCATACAGTCCATAATATCCGCGCAACTGCTCATCTTCTGCCGCGTGCCAGACAGACTCGCTCTCCTCTGCCAACAGCGCGCACCTCGGGGTCACTTTATTGGAATACAGGCCATTTATCAAAGTCCGCCACGCTGAGAAGGCCCGGTCACCGCTTTATTGCGAACGGAAACGTTATCCGATTTCTCCATTAACCTGCCCTTCTTTTCGTGCAGCGCCATAAAGTGCGTTTGTGTCTGTTTTCCTGCTCGGTTTGCTCCTCGGGCTTGTGGGTGGCAGTTTCAGGCAGGCTGAACTAGACTGGCCTCCAACTAGCTGATCCTCTACAACACTGCAGGGCTGGACATGTCACTTACAGCTGGAGCACAAGCGTCAGTCCTGCTCCATTTTGTGTAATTCTCACCACAGCTGTAAACAAAATAAAGCCTTTATTCTAAAATCTAAAATGGCAGCCAAATCCTTTAGATTATCTATACTCTTAAAAAAGACAGCAGTTCTATTCAGAACCATGGACACTCAAAGAACCATTCGCATGCTTAAATGGTTCTCTGCATGGTGAAACAGCTCTTCATATTGGAGGAGGATGTGTTTTGTTGAAAATAGTTCTATGTAGCACCAAAAGCGGTTCTCCTATTATTGCAAGCTTGACATCATAACAGCAGAAGCCTTTTTGGTGCTGTATAGAACCGCATACAACACATTCTCCATCGACCTGAAGAACCATTTCACCATCCAGAGAACCAATTAAGCATGCAAATTGTTCTTTGAGTGTCCATGGTTCTATATAGAACCACTGTCTTTATTAAGTACCATATTTTAAAATAGTACATACGTGATATTATTACATTATTATACAGTAGTTCTGACGGCACAATCTTATTGGTTGGAAAGTTTTCTATTTTATTTCACAATAAAGGCCTCACAAGCAGCATCATTTAGCATGCTGTACAAAATGTTGCTATGCTGCATAGAATGCATCTCAGTGAGATAAATGTCAAGTTCAAGCTCATTTTATGTTCTACTAATGCAAATTTAATGAAATAAATAAAACGTTCAACATTATTTACACTATTTGGCATCAGTTTACTACCTCGCCGGTTACAATGTGAGCAAACCGGACGGGAGAAACTGAACATCTCTTTTCCAGAAGCTGTTGTTCTTTCATCCCACAGAAATCTCTAGCTAGATCTCATCTCTTCTTTTTTTCTCCACTACAGGCTAAGGACAGTGACGATGATGAGGAAGTCGTCCACGTTGACCGAGGAAACTTCATGGATGAGTTCTTCGAACAGGTGAGCTCGGCCTCAGAATGAGGAGGCAACTGTGCTGGTTTTAGAAATGCAAAGCGGTTCTGATAAGAACAGCAGCTTAATTCAAATACTACAAATTCACTTGATGGAGATCATGTGCATCAGGTGGACGACAGACAGCGTCCAACATTTTGAAACCATTGTTTATAATGAAGATGTGTACATCACCCATTTCTGGGTTCCAGTGTGCACCACCAGTGGGCGACACTGCTCAATGTCTCTCATTGCCACTCAGCTGTACAGTATATTAAACCAGAATGAAACCACAAAACCTTATAGAAGATAATGTGGCATAAAATTTACATTGCAGTTAATGCAAATTAGACAAATACAATCTGTTCCTAGCCTTTTACATCACACCTTTAATCTTAGCACATATTTTAGCTGCAAGAACTTGTTAGCTAGATTCAGCCTCTGAAGCTCCGCCCACAAAGGGGCACCAACCATCTGCTATTCAATGCACACTGATCTGACCACAACTATTGGAATTTTATAAGCTCTTTTAGGGTTATTTTTTATTTGTTTGACAATAAAAACACTTTTGCCTGTTTTTATCACTGTGACAACAGCCAGCCTTTCAGAGTGAAATACAGTCGCTGGACTGGAAAGTTTGGTGTCTTTAAATTTATTATTCAGTTAATAATTTGTCTTAAATGCATTTAGTAGCTTGTAAACAAGAAATCCTTGCATGTTTGCTGACAGATACACGACTTCGTTCTCTGCAGGTGTGTTTTTGTTGCAGCACAACTTTTAAAACAGCCTTCTTGTACACGTCAAGCAAAAAGGTCTGACTGGGTTGTTTTTGATGTCAGTCAAACGGCCCTTTGCTGCTAAAGTTGGCGGTTCTTGGCCACCTTGAGCGACGAAACACACCAGACTCTGTGACAGTATTTTGAAGTCTGGCTGATACCAAACATGACAAATTCATGAAATGCTGCTCAATTAAGTATCATTCCATTAAATTTATTGGAGAGAAAAATCAAAGCTTATCCTGACTTTGCGTTTGAGACCAGTGTTGAGATTACGTGCAGAACGTGCTTTAGTGTTCTCCCAGCAACGCTTCCATCTGCCACACGGCGGAGTGCGGAAGGCTTTAGAGTGCTCCCAGCCAAAAATCACTGATGACTTTCATTCTGGGGGAAAGTGAGATGCGGATAATCAAAGTCAAAGTGAACTTTATTGTCATTCAGACCAACAAGCAGTGCACAGATGAACGAGACTGCATTTCTCCAACTCCGATGTGCAAAAATATACATAAATATAAAAGGCAACTCCACATAGACACACTAGACAACATAGACAGACATAAAACATACATACTGCACATTGTTCTCAGTGATAGTATTATTACACAGTGTAACGGGAAACGTAACCTTGACACTGGTGAATAGTGATAAAGTGCTCAAGTGATGAGAACATTGAAAATATTGCACAGAAGATGCACAGAAGATGAGAGTGATCCAGAGGAAAAGGCCATGAAAAGAGCCTGAAGGTTTTCCATCGGCCTTGAAGACGCAGTGGGCAGTCTAGTGATTTTATCAAACTTCTAAGTCTTGTTTTTGTTGAGGGGTTTCTGACCCAGACGACTGGACCGTGGCCTGAGCAGATGGGTACGACATGCAGATCAGTTGGTTTCGCTAACCACCCAAGTTTGTTTTTAGCTGTGTATGTTTAACAAGCTAACAGGCTCAGAACTGAGCTGCCATTAAAGCTGTAATAATATCACACTGCTGTAGTCAGTGATGGCAACACTGAACAGCTGAAACCTGAGTAGCTGAAATAAAACCTGATTTGAAGGTTTGAAACCCAGATTTTGCACATGACCTCACATGACATAGGCTAATGCTATCGGAAACATTGATCTACTGACAGCTCAGTTTAAACCGTGATGTGTCCACTCTTGGACATTCTTATGTTTTCTGGGCGAATGTGATGGCCGGCTTCAAAGATGGATGTGGGCTGACTTACAGAGGCATCAAGAAAAGTTTATAAAGTACAAAGTTTTAAAAGAATCCAAATGTAAGTGATTGTCTTGCTCGTTTCTGTCATCACTATCTGTAGATAATTACAGGATTCTCTGCTCTTTAATACACAAACATCTCACAGCATTTACTGGAGGTGAGGGAACCAGCCTTGTGACCGGAAGGTCGCCGGTTTGATCCCCTGAGCTGACAGTACGTGACTGAAGTGCCCTTGAGCAAGACACCTAACCCCTAACTGCTCCCCGGGCGCTATAGATAGGGTTGCCCACCACTCCGGGCAAGTGTGCTCACTGCCCCCTAGTGTGTGTGTTCACTAGTGTGTATGTGGTGTTTCACTGCACGGATGGGTTAGATTGCGAAGGTGAAATTTCCCCACTGTGGGACTAATTTTTTAAGTGGTTTGTTTGCTAATACGGACAGAACCTATTCATACTGGTCTTATTTTGCAAATTAACCCACCTCATTATAGCTGTAGCCTTTTACTGCAGTAAAGAAGTTGAACCCAGCCTGGTGTACATAATCTTGTATTAATTAATGCAGGGATTCTTCCCTATTGATTAGTAATGCACACGAAAGCTCGTCCGCTGCAGTAGATTTCAAGGAGAATAAAGCAAAACCCTCAAAGCAGAAGCAGAACAGACTGTTGCAATTTCAACATTCAGTAATCAAATTTTTTAATTCCTTCCCAAAAATGTCCAAGTAAGCACATAATACTGCTTACTGCAGTGTGCCCAACAGAGCTACAGATCATAAGGGACATGAAATTCATTATGCATTCATAAAACATCCTTCAGCACCTTTAGATCGCGTCCATGGCCGCATGTCTTTTCTATAAGGTGGAAATGAATGCAGTCACTGAACTTTGGAGCTGCTTTGAGGTCTCCTTTACGGAGGAGTGTTTCCAGAATACCAACTAGCTGCTGAATCTGCAGTGCAGGAGAACGCTGGGGGGGGATCTCAGAGCAAAGATCACTCCTGCTCAGGGTGGCCAGGCAGGACGATACTGAAGCAGGGCCTGTTTACCATTTAGGCTTGTGAGATCTGCATCCTGTCATTAAGCTGAGGTTTCAGTGATGTATCTCTTCCAGTGTTAGAAAGACTAAGATATAAGTGACATAAGAAAACACAAAAAACTGAACTAAGACCCATCATGGCTTTTACAAAGCAATTAAAGAAATTGATGTTTGTTAATGACGCCTTTAGAGGGCGGCGCTGAGCGACGTTTGTTTATTTGATGGTTGTTAATGACGCCTTTAGAGGGCGGCGCTGAGCGGCGTTTGTTTCACAAGAGCGTTGTGTTGATGTGTCGATTGCTGGTTTTGGAATTATCACTTTGTAGAGTTGCTAAAGTAATGTTAGCTTTCAAGGTCTCTAATTCCCATGTTATTAGCATGTATGCTAGCAGGTCCAGTCACTGTCCCAGTTCTGTCCCCTACAGGGTCTCTTCGGTCACTTACGTAAATTTGGGCATTGAGCTCTTTCCCCCAGGTCTGGCTATACATCCATCAGAGAATGTGGGTGTTAGCATTCACCCCCTCATGTTAGCAGCTATAGCAGCTACTCAGTGCTGTAGGTGCTGAGGGGGCAGACAGGGCAGCCACACTGGGGCCCATGATAATGTTTAGTGGGCTCCTATAGATACTGACACGACTGTACAGCCACCACTCACAGAATATCTCTTATATTTCTCACCAGAGCCCCTCAGCAGCTAGCTACATTAACGCTACACACATACACTGACGTCTGTTTATCTCCAGCCTATTCATAAAGCAGCTCATCCATCATAATGTCTTTCAGATTTCAAACATCATATATTCTTTATTTATAAGTCTAACATTTTAAATAGGTGGTGTAATGTGACCATTAATGTAAACATCTAGCGAGTAGAGTGGCACACACTGAGAGCTTCAGCTTGTTGGAGACACAACAGTAGCAGTTAAACAAGCAAATTACGTTGGCATTTTTAGAAAGATGACCACAGCTGATCATGTCAACCTGCCACAAACGTCTGCAGCACATATACATCTATTTACTTGAACACTTTGACATAACCATGCCATAAACATGTCATGATAGATGTCATATTCTGTCATAGGTTGTTATAACACATTGTGTTCAGTGAAATAACAGTGCCAACATCAGTGACATTGCTGTTATGAAGGCTAACTAGTGTGCACAAAAAATGGCACTGAGCTGTTATAACATCACATATTACGACACCTGTTATCACAATTAGAGGTAATGGTAACATGACATTGTTATATTACAGGAAATAATCTGTTATGACAGCGTTATAACACCTGCCATCCCTACTGAAGAACCCAGCATAGACCAGCACCGTAGTCCATCCTGGTCCATGCTGAGCTGGTTTATCTAGCAGGGATGATGTGCGTATGTCAATATTGTGTAGCAGAATTCAAGTAAAGTGTTTCCACTATTGGATTAATTGTATGTTTATATTATTATATGATGATATGTATGTTTAGATGGTTGGCTCTGGAACATGGTTATGTTGTGTCATTGTCGTTATTACATTTAGCATATTTTGAGCTCTTCAGCGTGTAGTTCAGTAGGTACAGTTCTCAGCGCAGATGCCTTAAAGGATTCAGGAAGAACTTAACAAAAATACAAGATGACTCCAAGAGTTTTGGGGTCAGTGAGTGTGTTTGGAGAGAGAGGACATATAAAGGGCTGCTATACCTCTGATATAATCAGACAGGCTTGAAATGATGACAGCCGTCTTACTCTGATTTAGCTGGAGGAAGTTTTGACAAGTTTTGATTTGACAAGGCAATCAAAAAGGAGGCTTCAGAGAACGAAAATATGAGATAATTCTTTAGTGATATTATTAAATAGATACTTTATATTTATGTGTATATATCTTTTTAATATTTTATATTATTTATACAGGGTGATTGAATCCGATTCATCTGATTTCAAAATGATTCATTGTAAATCATTACAGAACAATGCAGTAAATGCTTTCTGCTCAGGGGTCTCATCTCCTCTCAGACTGAAGGGATCCGTCTTCCAGTGACAGTCAGAAACTCTATGACCCCCTCTTTCACTTGGATTGTGATTGGTTCCTAGGCGCCTCACAGTTGTAAAAATATGGCGCTTTATTACATATATATATATATATATATATATATATATATATATATATATATATATATATATTACAGTGTGTGTGTGTGTGATATTATTATTACAAACACATATATTACAAAAATTGTTTTAATTTTTTTACATATTTTAAAAATAGCTGTTGGCCTTTTCTTTTGTACAGTGCTGCCTTGACAAAGTAAAATCATCTCATTCTATTCTGTTTTTGCTTGTTTGAAGAATTTTGTTCATTTGAAGAATTGTTTCTTGAAAATTTCATAAATTTCTGAACAGAATACAACATTTCCAGTGGATAAAAAAGCAGAAAAAAGTCTTAAAATAGGTTAAATAATCTTAATATTCTCACAGCAATTTCATAAAGAGAAATATTAGCTATATTGACCACATTTGCCAAGATCTAATTTTTTGCCATGCATTTTCAGGTTACGATGAAGCCGATAAACAACTCACATCTATTGACTCTTTGTTGTTGCTGTTTTTAATAGGTTTATTAGTTTCGGAGTGAGAACTGAAGCTCCTGTGCTTTAAGCTCTTTTAATTGGGCCGTGTTTAACGGTTGCTGTGCTGGGCTGCAGGTGGAGGAGATTCGCGGCTGCATTGAGAAGCTGTCGGAGGACGTGGAGCAGGTGAAAAAACAGCACAGCGCCATCCTGGCAGCGCCCAACCCTGACGAGAGTGAGTCCCGCACCATCCTCCCTCACAAAAACACTCGTACCAGCACTTCGGTTTGATGTCATGTTTTAGGAAGCAGTTCCGCTCGACGCACCCAGGGCTTCAGCTTACATAATGTGGCAATTATCAGGGGGCCAAGCACTCAACGTTCTACAGCATACTGTTTATTTACCGGTGTGACTTTTTCTAAATTCTCAAACTCTCAGAGTTTAAACCCACCTGGACGTTCTTTACTGCTCAACACACTAATCAGACTTCGGCATCTTCAGCATCCCTCAGATTCACTTAATCCTGCAATCGCTTTAAACCTGGATCTATAGTAATCCTGTTACTTACCTTCTCAAGGTCGAGGCACAAACCTTGTGCTAGAATTTGCCTTTTTTGTCCACCCACTGCAGCATTTTTGCCATCAGTGTTATTTCTGAATTCTGAGGATATGATCACAGATACAATGTAAATTTGATCCCTGTCAGACAAAATTGGTAAAAAATGGTGCCATATTGTGGAATATTCAATTTGCACAGCACTTAAAACCTTAATTTTCTTTTAATGATCGTGAAAACATATCTTAAGATTAATTTACTGCCCAAAAATTGGAAAACAATTCAAACACTTTCTTTTACAGTCCCCTAAATTTAAGGCGTTAATCAGATAACTATGAGGTACAGACTTCAAAGTAGAACTAGATCATCACTTTGGGTAACATGATGATCTTTTCCAAAACCTTTTTTATTGGTTTTCAGAGTTTGCGTCTCACACTTACCCACTTAATGACTGGATTTTGAGGACCTGCATCACAGAAAACTGAATTTTCTTCACTTTCTTAAATGAAAGAGTTTGCACCATGTAAACAATGTCGAGGTTTCAAATCATACCATTCACTTCCCAGTGCAGACAGTCTACGTTTATGGAATCTTTTTGAACTCTTCGTTTTTGTAACATTACCAACACATTTACATACATCCTTCTATTCAGAATGCAGTAGTTTAGCTTCAGCTAAGGAGGGTTTCAGCCCAGACTGCTTTTTGAGTAAGGCATAATATAGGACAGCCAATCAGAACAGAGCTCATTTATATGGGTCTTAAAGGCACAGAAAAAGGAACAGCCTGTTTTACTGTAAGAGATAAAGAAAGGATGGAAATGAACATGTAGAAATGAATTATGGCTGTTTTTGTTTATGTAAAACTACACAAGAGGAAAAATAAACTACAGGTAAAACATAGGATATGGGCCCTTTAAGGGACTGTAAAAGACAGCGTTAATAAAAATATAAAATAATGAGGTTAATCTCTAATGCTACAGTCACATGCATGTTTTTTTTTCTGGCAAAATAGTTTAATTATTAAATTACACTATTTTATTCACTATTTTATATTAAAATATTATTGGCTTTTTATCATTTGCTGTTGATCACCAAGCTGTAAACTCAGCATTATGATAAATTATAACTGATTCTAAGAATATTCAACAACATTTGGGCCAAAATAGAATTATCTGGCTATTCACACATAATAATAAAATAAACACATAAAATAATTTTGAATCGCACCAAAATAATCAGATCAAATTGTGGTGAAATGTCAGATTTAATGCTGCACTGAATCCTTTCCTGAGAATCGTAATAGAGGATTATGAAAAACAAAATAAATGTAAAATATGTGTTATGTGTGTCAGGCCTGCACAGCACACGCTTCATTCTATTTTAAATGCAGTAATCCTCTCTTTAGTGCATTTTCCTTTCATGCACTGTTATTCTGTAATTAAAATGAATATCGTAACATAAACAGTGCCTTGTTTGTGCTGCCTAACACCAGGAGAACGCTGTGCTTCAGAGAATAAATACAGTTCCTTTCTCTCTGGCTGTGAAGCGCTGCTGCTCTTCAGTTCTGGCCGCTGTAACGCTGTCCAGTGATGCCGTCCCCTCTCTCTTCTCTTTTGCACTGAGTCACTCTGTCCTTAACTCAGCCTGCCAGGGTAGTGCGCCTTTTCCTCCGCCGGCTGAGGCTTTAATCCCTGACGTTCCAATGCCTCCTGACAGGCCCGAGTCTGGGTTTGGCTAAAAAGCCCGCAGGGCGTTTACGACACCCCACCACACTCTGCAGCGTCTACACTTTCACATCTATAGATCCTGATTTTCTACATTTCTCAGCATTAGGGCTGCACAATATGGACAAAATGCCACATTATATCGCAGTTATTTTACAATTGTATTACAGCTGTGTTGTGATTATATTGTGGTTATGTTTTAGCTAAATTGCAGTTACTTTGCAATTATATTGTGGTTGAATTGGGTTATATTATAATTATATAGTGATAGTATTGCGGTTATATTATAGTTATATAGTGATAGTATTGCAGTTATATTATAATTATATAGTGACAGTATTGCGGTTAATTTATAATTATATAATGACAGTATTGTGGTTATATTATGATTATATAGCGATAATATTGCGGTTATATTATAATTATATAGTCATAATATCGGGGTTAATTTATAATTATATAATGACAGTGTTGTGGTTATATTATGATTATATAGCGATAGTATTGCGGTTATATTATTATTATATAGTCATAGTATTGCGGTTATATTATAATTATATAGTCATAGTATTGCGGTTATATTATGATTATATAGCGATAGTATTGTGGTTATATTATAGTTCTATAGTCATAATATTGCAGTTATATTATAATTCTGTAGTCATAGTATTGCGGTTATATTATGATTATATAGCGATAGTATTGTGGTTATATTATAATTATATAGTAATAATATTGCAGTTATATTATAATTATATAGTCATAGTATTGCGGTTATATTATGATTATATAGCGATAGTATTGCGGTTATATTATAATTATATAGTCATAGTATTGCGGTTATATTATAATTATATAGTCATAGTATTGCGGTTATATTATGATTATATAGTCATAGTATTGCGGTTATATTATAATTATATAGCGTTAGTATTGCGGTTATATTATAATTATATAGTGCCAGTATTGCGGTTATTTTATAATTATATAATGACAGTATTGTGGTTATATTATATTACTATTGTATTGTGGTTGTATTGTAATTATCTAGTGGTTGTATTGTGATTATATTGTATTATGGTTATATAGCAGGTGTACTGATGTTATCTTGCGGTTATATCTTGGTTACATTGCGATTACATTGCGATTCTGTTCAGAGTAAAATATTCTTTTCCAATTAAAAGTATCAAAATCGTGTTAGTGAACCGTTGAGATTATCTACAGTAATAGATTAGTTTGCCTTACTTTTTCGAAATCGTTCACATTACGTTAGAGGCTAATTTGCATATTACAGCCTGTGAGATCAGAACACAAACAGCAACATCATCACAGTGATGAACAATCCATACATTGTGCAGCTCTACACTGAAAACGTGCTGCACTGAACTCGCTCAGCTCAGATCTGTACATCATCTTCACACTTTACGGTGCACACAGAGGACCGTGTGCTGTGCGTATTTGATGAGTGTGAGTGACGTGCACGTCAACTTTAACGCAGCACTGCGTCCAGTGAGGTCAGCAGCGTGACGTTGTTTTATGTTTCTACTTTCTGATGCATGATGTGTTTTATTTCCAGCATGGTGTTTAATTTTGCTGCATGCTCTGTGTGAAACGTGTTTTTCTTTCTGTGCCCCCCCCTTTTCTTTTCCTCCCCTCGCGTCTTCCTCCTGTCTGTTTCTTTTGGCCACGCTGCATGAAGGAGTCCAGCGGCAGCTGAGTGTCTGATTGGATTTCTGTTTGTGAGTGAGCAAACTACTACTACTGACCCCCACAGGAGAGTGACCACTGCAGAGGAGGACACTGGGACAAAATAAAGGAAACGGCTGCAGACATGTTACAGTTTTAACCCTTACATGTTTCATACTGCAGTGCATTCATAATCATAATCCCTCTCTCTCTCTCTCTATATATATATAGATATAGATATATATATATAGAGAGAGAGAGAGAGACTAACTAGGCCAACCGTTGACCAGTACTAACTGTAGGCTAACTGTAAGACTAATAGTAGACAGTACTAACTGTACACTAACTGTAGGCAGTACTAACTGTAAAACTAACTAGACTAACTGTAGACAGTACTAACTGTAGACTAACTGTAGACTAACTGTACATAATTGTACACTAACTGTAGACGGTACTAATTGTAGGCTAACTGTAGACTAACTGTAGACAGTACTAACTGTAAGACTAAATGTAGACAGTACTAACTGTACACTAACTGTAGGTAGTACTAACTGTAGACTAACTATAGACAGTACTAACTGGAGGACTGACTGTAGGCAGTACTAATTGTAAGACTAACTGTAGACAGTACTAACTGGAGGATTAACTGTAGGCAGTACTAACTGTAGACTAACTGTAAACAGTACTAACTATAAGACTAACTAAGACTAACTGTAGGCAGTACTAACTGTAAGACTAACTGTAGACTAAATGTAGACAGCACTAACTGTAAGACTAATTATAGGCAGTACTAACTGTAGACTACCTGTAGGCAGTACTAACTGTAGACTAACTGCAGATGGTACTAACTGTAAGACTAACAGTAGACAGTACTAACAGTAGACTAACTGTAGGCAGTACTAATTGTAGAATAACTGTAGGCAGTACTAACTATAAGACTAACTGTAGGACTAACTGTAGGCAGTACTAACTATAGACTAACTGTAGGCAGTACTAACTGTAAGACTAACAGTAGACAGTACTAACTGTAAGACTAACTGTAGACAGTACTAACTGTAAGACTAACTGTAGGATTAACTGTAGGTAGTACTAACTATAAGACTAACTGTAGGACTAACTGTAGGCAGTACTAACTATAGACTAACTGTAGGCAGTACTAACTGTAAGACTAACAGTAGACAGTACTAACTGTAAGACTAACTGTAGACAGTACTAACTGTAAGACTAACTGTAGGATTAACTGTAGGCAGTACTAACTGTAGACTAACTGT